TAGAGCCCCGACTATTGTGAAGTTTAAACAGCATTTCTCTGCCAAAAAAATGGGCGGAAGCCGAGGGTATACCGGCTCAGCTATTCGAACAAGGCAAGGAAGTACTAAAAAATTTGGTTAGATGAAGGAATAAGGTCAATTATCGTGATTAAAATCTTTGTATGTTTATACAGTTATCACCCATCGGCAGGGAACGCCAAACACTCCCAGTGTGTTTCTGACATCAAATAAAAAAGCTCCTCATAAAAATCCATCGGCCCCTCGGTTGCGGCTTAGAATAAGCTTTAGTCGCTCCATTTGCTTGAAAGCCATCAATAAGTCCATCATAAAATGTCAATTAAATATATAATCAACAGAGCTCTATCAAACTTAGCAGGGATGATACTCACAATGTGGAGCATGCCAGCAAAAATTACTCTTAAGAGTTCAGAAATAGACCCAACTCCATCCAAACTTTTTGGTTTTAATCGATTTACAGACTTAGAATTGAATATTCAAGATATATATCGATTTTAATACGTCCATTAACTATTTCGAGCTAATCTCTATAGTTGTATTAATCACACGATAGGTCACGATCAGTTTGCGCACAGCGTCGATAGTTTCCGAAACAAAAACAGATTTTGAACTACCTACACGGAATTGTTATTCGAATGATCTGCGACTTCGACTGAATTCACCATACCAAGGAAACTGTTTCTTGTTGGAGCTTCATCGCCAACAAAGGAGTTTAGTTCATCAATGCATTACAGGTGGGTTAATCCACGTCGAATGTTGTAAAAAATAAACGCACGATTTAATTTCATTCTTTACTTTGCATATTTAAAGTAACTGTAAACAACGCAAATAGCGCTGGAATGCCAAACGATCTGATTACGTAAAGAGGTTTCCAATAAGAGATGCCATTTTGAACAGCCCGCTATTCCGGTAGATGTCACTTTTCAAGCTGCTTTTTTTTTTACCTTTGGCAAGACAAGTAATAAAAATGGAATGATTCACACTTTAAACAAATTTGTAAAAACCTGGCAGAGACGGTTCGAAAATCTACAATCTGTTTCGGTCATCGTGAAGCAATTTGTCGGACTGCAATACAGAAATTGGTTGAAAAAGTTTGCCTATAGGGATCAATTAGCGTAGTGTGTAGAATAAAACCTGTGCACGTCGCTCAAGAACAGCTAAGAACACTGTTGCTGTAGTACAGGTTTGTTCATTCCTCGTCGTTCTTTAGAAATGGGCATTCTACAAAGTCATTACACTGAAGTTCGCATACAGACTTGCGCCTTAAGCTCTATAAAGTTCAGTTAACACCGGAACTAAAGCCAGCGGATTGTCTAAAACGTCGTGTCGTTGCTGATTGAGTCCTTGCATTGCACGAAAATTATTCGAAATTTTATCGAAAATTCATTTTGACTAATGAATTCCATTTCCACCGCGCTGGAAACAGAAAAACTGTCGCATCTGGAGCACAGAAAGCCCAAGATTTATTGTTGAAAAGCCTCAACTTGTAACTGTTTGGTGCGGCTTATGGTCCGTATGCGGGGTTTTCGGACCTTACTTTTTCGAAAATGAGGCTGTAGCAACATTTCGACGAACAGAATGCGCTATCGAGAGATGATTATGACAGGAATTGGATGGTATTGATCTGGATAACGTTCACTTTCAACAAGATGTCGCTACGTGCCACATAAGCAACGAAACCACCGATCTTTTAAGGGAAAAGTTTTCCGAACGTGTTATCTCCCGAAGATTTAAATGCTACTGGCACAGAGATGTTGAGATTTAACACTTTACAGCAGACCAAGGTGGACTCAAGAACTCAAAAAAAAAGACCGCAAAGATGGAGCTCGTGAAACTACTATGGGCATACTACAGCAGCCAATTTCTAAGATTTTGAACATGTTCAGATAAGCTAATATGATCAAGTAAGCATTTTTAAATAAAAATAATATAAATATTTAAAATATTTGAAATCTCATGGACCGCTCAAGTGCGTATTTAAATATTTTTAATTAACAAAGCGCTCTCAGTGTACGAAGGTTTCCTGGCCAAATTTTGAATTGCTGTCTGTGAAAAATATTAAAAAAAATCCTTTGGAAATAAAATGAATATTTAAAAATATATAATAAAATATATAAAAACATTATTTATTAATATATATAGAAAAGTAATATATTTTTGCATAGACCTCATTTCTATTAAAGTTGACACTAATGCTCGTAATACGCAGATTTTCATTAATTTGCTGACAATTTCAACTTTAATTCGAATTATTTCACAGTTGTAAATGTCTATAAATCTATTTGTCACATTTCAAGGTATGCCACTTTGTTGTTGTGGGCCTTATTGCATGCATTGATATGTGGTTAATAAAAACATGATATCGCATGCATAACTAATGCCTAACTACGCCATATATTTACATATGTAAATATTTATGAAAAGATTTGTACCTGCTCCACGTTAACGCCCACCAGACAAGTGCGTCCATTATACGCACCGCCAATCAAATGAATTGACCAAACATAAAGACCTAACATAACATTAGTTATTATTTAAATTTGCTGAAAAATTTGAGCATATAAAAAATCACTGAAAATTTACTTCAACTTACATATACATTCAGAGATAATATGGGTAATAAAAGGTAATAATTTATGCATTCGCTTGTGACATAAATATTTGTTTGCTTAACTAATTATAAACAAATTAATTTAATAGAGCAAATTGAATTTTTAAAAAATAAAAAATGACAACTCCACATTCATGTGGAAGGCCCCGGCGAGATTCGAACTCACGATCTCCTGTTTACTAGACAGGCGCTTTAACCAACTAAGCCACGGCGCCAAGTTATTGAATGAATGTAAGAGCCGTAATATATAACCAATGGCACTCACTACTATTAACAGTAAATTTTAACATTACACTGTTAAATTCAAGTTCATAACAGTGAGAGTAACAGTTGTGAGTAAGTACAAAAATAGAATATGTGTACAGAAGAAGCCTAAAAGTATGCAATAAGATGAGAACAGTTTTACAAAGAAAACATAAATTCATTTCTCTATGTGATATGGCGTTAGGGTTCGTCCGAAAAACGTGCTTTTTTCAACAAATTTTATTTATTAAAAATAAAAATTAAATCAAAGTTTTTGTGGATAAATAGACATGTAAAAATATTAATTAAAAAAAAATGTTTTCTTTGCTTCAAATGGCGGCGCTTAAAATTGCTGCTGAAACACACCCCATCTGTTGATGAGTGAAACGATTACTGTAAAACGAATCACCTGAAGGCAAAAATCAAATCAGTTTCTTATTTTGTATCACATTGGCTTCGGCCGGTACTACAATGATGCCTTTTCACCAAAAACCAAAAAAAAAAAAAATTAAAAAAATCAAAGTACTCGAGCGGCCGGATTTACTGCTTGGCGCGCTACGTTCTTCCCTCTACTGCACCTACTTCTTGCTCTGCGGGCCTTCGGAACTAATTCTATATTATTTCTAAGCGTATTTTCTACCAATTTAAAGGAGAAAAAAATTTGTTTTTTTTTACCTTTTTTACAGGAACCGGGCCTTAAGGAATAAGAGAAAAATTGTGTTCGGATGTTAATGGAAATTTAACCAAATTGATTATTAATTAAATAAAAATAAGTTAACCAGTTTTATATTTTCACGAATAGGGGCGCAAGTATATAGTAAATGATAAAGAAATATGTTTGAGCGTTGGAGGGGAGGAGGGAGAGGATGTTTATGATTAGGAAATATAAGAAGGAGACAAATTATCGAGCGGAATGGTTCTTGAAGGAGTGAGGGTATGAGACGCTACCAGTTAATGACTGGTTTACAGGTCTACTACTTCCATAACATCTACTGTCCCACATTCAAATGAAGTAAGAATGTTTTGTCCATCCACTTTGTTGTCCAAATAAGAGAACTAACCTTTTTCAATTAATTGTCAACTCTTCACCGCTCTGTTGTAAAGCTAAGCCGGTAAGTCATCGGCACCTGCCTCTTTGCAGTGATCCTAGTTGGAGCGATATTTTACGTCAACCGAGATTTTCGATCCGGCGAATGCCAAATTGGCTTGATGAATTTTTCGGGTTCGTGGCGGGGGCAGTGCTCATAGTTGCTTTCTTTCAGCTCTAAGAAAGTGTCCTTGGTTACAGCGTTCTACTATTTCGTCTTCACAAATCCAAAATTGAATGTTGCGCTTCTTTGCATGACCGCTATAAAAAATGTCACTAGGACTCACCTTCTTCTCTCGCCGTGATGTCAACTTTTAGTCTTAGCAACGACATCTTCCCAATTAAGGGATTGTCGTGCGTGGCTCGTCATCAAAACAGGGGTCTACCAAAAAGAAGCTTTGTTCGGTTTTTCATTGAAGTTTATTTTTCATATAGTGGATCCAAGCAGCGGCTACGCTGGGTGGGTCATTTGGTAAAGTAAGGATCCCAAACCCTATGCACAACTGCTAGAGGATTTGCCTTATCACTTTACCTTGTCTCCAAACGGATGTTTATTGGCTACCCAGAGGTTACTTGGTCTAAGACCGGAAGTCATGAGCTGTGCCTGGCCGCTATCAGTTGAATAACAACGAAAAAATTTCTTCTCTTTCACGAACTTCTAAGCCAGATCTCCTCGTCCACAATATATTACAATTTCGTAAAACTGTAACCAGAAAAATTTGGCTAATTAACTTGTTAAAGTGAAGATCTTTATTTCCGATAATAAAGAGATTATAACACGTTAAATAATCATTTCCGCACATTAATGAACCTCTGATCAAGAACATATAATTGCCAAAATATAATATTGATGACCGTACAAATTGCTCACTCAGACATGAAAAAGCCTCACTGTTGACATAATTAGAACATAAATTTTAAATTTGTTGGAAGTTTTTATAAATAACATATTTTGACTAAAATTTAACGCCGAGTTCAGTGGATATGTACAAATTCTGCAGAAATTTCACATTTATTTTAATTTATTTAACAGCAATCGAAATGCGAACTGTGCAAAGTGTAAGTTTTCCAAAAATTAAAAAAAAAATCTTTATAAAAAAATAAAATGTAATTTTTGGCTAATAATTTTTGCCAGGAAAAAATCTTAAAATTGCTTGGCATAACCTGTGAAAGCGTGCAACCGAAGTGGGTTAATTTCACTAAATGTCTGGTAAAACCAATGAAAAATCACATCGCCGAAGTGACCGTTGAAGTGGCGCTCATCGTAAAACCAATCAATAACGCAACGGTGGGTTCGAAGAAAATCCTGTAATTAAATAATAAAGTACTGTAATTTTCCATAAATTCAAAGCTTGTTGGGGAATTAGTGAAACACGGTTATGAGGATCGTCCACCTGTGGCCGCTTACGAAATGGATTGTTGTGATTTCTTCCGCAAAAAACGCCGTAAGTTTATGGCCAATGTGGCCTATAAAGCCATGGGTTTGGATAAATACAGCAATATGAATCACTCATGCCCATATGATGTAAGTGTGTGTAAAAAATATAAATAAAAATATTTTATTCTAAATTTACAGTAATTTTTGTTTATTTGGTTTCAGCACGACTTAATCGTGGATCGCTATCCATTTAATGGCCATGTTTTGGGTAAAATAATTCCATTTGGCAATGGCGAATTTACTTTCAATACAAAATGGTATTCTTATAATGTATTGAGAGCTGTTGTCCGCATAAGAGTTCGTCTTTTTGATGATTAAGTGAAAAACTCAAAATATGAAAAGAATAGAGAAGACAACTGTTATTTACAAATATTGTTGTAAAAAGTTTTTTTTTTAACGGTTAGTCTTCGTCTGCATTGAATTTAAAAGTGGTTTTAATAAAGTTTTTAATTGGCATTTGCACGCTTTTTATTTTATTATAACTTAAGGGAACCCTAACCCTGATTTTGGATCAAAAAATTTGTTTTTATTTTTGGACGCAATAAACGAAAGCCATATATTTGTGGAGAAGGTGTTTAAAGGGATTTTGCAATATAATTAATATTTTTCAAATGAAAGCTTCTCGAACACACCTGGGACACGCATGCTGCGAACTTTCAAAAAACTTTGAACGCGTCTTTCTCGAAACCTTATTTTCCGAATTAACTTCAAGCCCGGGCATGATCTACCCGTATGATATCTTTTATCTATTTTATAAACGGTTTTGAAGTATATAGTTTTTTTACGTCTTGAACCTAAGGTTAGCATTAATAATTAATTATTTTTTCATTCCCCACAAAAAAATACAAACTTTGGCTGATTTGTATTCAATAGCAATGGAGGGTTCCCTTAAAATTTGTAAATATGTATAAAGGGTTTCACAGACGTGTGGTCTTCAATGGGGCAATACTTCTTCTATCTCTCTGTTTGACAGCTGTTACTGGATTCAAAATCAGTTTGGCTTGCCATTTCATAATAAACAGGCTCCTTTTAGAATCGTTAAAATCGTTAGCAGCCTTTTAGTGCCCCCAAAGACGTTAATGCTGCCGAAGAGCAGCGTCTCAAAGAAGACGCAAATGTGTCCATCCGCCATCGCGAACAACAAGTGGAGCTGGATAGTTCTGACCCCGTTATAGCTACCAAAAAAAAAAAAAAAATAAATGCAATATTTACCGGAAAAAGTCTGAGAGATGATCGTGATAGAGAGTGACAATAATAACAAAGTTAATTATGGGATAATGAATATGATTACAATAGTGAAGAAGCAGTTTATATATTTTAAATAAAATTTGAACCTTAACCCTCCGTGCGACACCAAGGTCGTTTTTGGAGATAAATTTAACATACTTAAAATTTAGATAGCGAATTGTGCTCCTAGGTACCCCCCTAAAATTTTATTGGCTATCGATCTATGCAATAAAAACATATACTTGTCCTTTTAAAAAAGGTCGAAAAAAATATTTAAAAAAAATACACTTTCGGTATATAAAGTGTGGTGTCGGCAGGATTAATCAAATAAAAATTGTTGAAAACTGACATTTTCTTACCGCCAAAATCTAGAGAGAAGGATCACATATCCATGTTCAAGTACAAGGAACAGTGTTACTACAATAACAATTAAAAAAAAGAATAATTATTCTCAACAACAGCAACAATTTTCTTGCCGGGAATTAGAAATTTAACCTTCGGAAAAACGTTCGAGTGGTGGACTGCATTTGTTACACGAAGGACACAACGGCAAATTTCCTATTATTAACGTGACGTTGGCAGCATCCAGTTGCGAAGAATCGCATAGCGTTAAGAAGTTTTAAGCATTTTAGTGGTGTTAATACTGAGAAAATGCCTAAAAGTTTTAATATTACCTTTATGTGAATCTATATAGATTCCGAAACTCGGTTCCACTCAAGTGGAAAGGGCCAATGCTGAAGGGTACGACGATACTTCCTCATCGACTTAAATGCCATATTTGGAATTTTTTTTTTTTTTATATAGCTAGGAAAATTTCCTGTTTTACTTAACTTTAATTCAAAATTACAATAAAAAAAATATTTTGTCGATGGCGCGCTGACAACTTCAAAATATTCGTTTGGTTAGCGATTTGTCGAGTAGTTTACGATAACAGTTGATCAAGCAAAAACGAATTTCATGAAAATAAATACAGCGAATATTAAAGCTGTTAAAATATCGTTAAGTTATTTTAATGATCCGAAAACCGTGATAACACCTTAGAGAATCCCTCCGCTGGACTTTAAATGAATGTAACGAGCAAAACGATGATGCGCAGGATTTACACCATCTGTAACCAACGAGCTTTCTCAAAATTCTTTAAAATTTTACCAATTACTTGAGTAGTTGGACGCAAACAGAAAATTTTTTTCAGTGTTGATTTTTACGTTCTTTCTACATAAACTGTAGCGAAATTCGCCTAATAAACTTATTGGACAACAGATCTTTTATTCTGATAATAATGGGTTTATAACAGGTTATTTCCGCACATTAATGAGTCTCTGAACAAGAACAAATAACTGTCAAAACATAATATTGATGACCGTACAAAATTATCACTCAGACATGGGAAAGCCTCAGAGTTGACATAATTAGAACATAAATTTCAAATTTGTTGGAAGTTTTTAGAAATAACATATTTTGACTGAAATTCAACGCCAAGTCCAGTGAAAATGTACCAATTCTGCAGAAATTTCACATTTATTTTAATTTATTTAACAGCAATCGAAATGCGAGCTGTGCAAAGTGTAAGTTTTCCAAAAATTAAACAAAAAAACTGTATAAAAAAATAAAAATTAAATTTTTTGCTAATAAATTTTGAAAGGAAAAAATTGTAAAACTGCTCGGCATAACCTGTGAAAGCGTGCAACCGAAGTGGTCTACTTTTAGGAAATGTCTTCTAAAGCCATTGAAAGATGATGCGGCCGAAGTGAGCGTTGAAGTGGTGCTTATCGTAAAACCAATCAATAACGCAACGGTGAGCTAAACAAAATTAAATTTAATTAAATATATAAACTAAAATGTTTACATAAAACTTCAAAAGATTGTGGCGACATTAGTGAAACGTGGTTATGAAGATCGTCGACCTTTGGTCGATTACAAAATCGATTGTTGTGCCTTCTTTAGAAAGAAACGTCGTAGTTTTTTAGACAACTTCGCCTATAAAATTTTGGGATTCGATAAATACAGTAATATGAATCATTCATGCCCTTTTGATGTGAGTTCTGACTTTTAATAATATTTTATTATTAATTTACGGAGTTTTTGGTTGGTTTTCTTCTTTGATTTCAGCACGACTTAATCGTGGATCGCTATCCATTTAGTGGCCGTGGCCTGGGTAAAGCAACTCCGTTTGGTAATGGTGAATTTGCTTTAACAACACAATGGTATTCTTATAATGTATTGAGAGCTATTGTTGTAATACGAATGCTTGTCTTTGACAAATAAGTCAGAAATTTAAAGAAAAGAAAACAAAAAGCGAATTTGCATAATAAAATCTTTTATGAATTTTTTAAAAATTTTATACCGTGGGAATTTTGGTTCACCGATTGGCAAACTGCTGGACGCTTTGATCATATGTTATTCTTCCGAGAATGGTGTAGAGCTTCTCTATGGTTGAGTAGCACTTAAGCTTTTGATATTGCTGTTTGCTTAAACTTTTCCATCCAGGCTGGAACTGCTGGAATATCCAAGCGTAATAGATTAGACGTCGTGATGTGGAATGTGTTTAGTGCACGCTATCACCTCTACTCTGTACCCTGGAAGTTAATGAATTGCCCAAGAAGATGAAGGGAGGAGCTATCATGCTTACAGCCTATGCGGATGATATCTCAGCCATAGTGTGCAGCTAGTGTTTGACAGCCCTCGGATCTCTGGTGAATCAGACACTTAGGATCATAAACAATTGGGCTATTTAAGGAGGACTCAATTCCAGCTTGTGTTAAGCCAAAAGCTCGGAGAGGACACTTTATAGCTAAAGCCTCGCACTAAGTATCTGGAAACTGTGTTGGACTGCTAGCTGTAGTGGAGACTTTATGTGGTGGAACGGGTGAAGAAGGCATCAGCGGCCCTATGTACATGCAAAAGCATATTAAGACTGCTATCTACCACTGGATTTTTATTGTTGTTGTTAAGCCAATACTTTTCAACGGTGCTTTGATATGGTGGAAAGCTCTGTACAAAATCACATGTCTGGATAGACTGGAAAGAGTATTCGAACTCTCAGTTATCTGCACTACTGGGGCACTCAGAACTAACTAAAAATAGATAATTCTTATCTGCTGCGAGGCTATATGCTTCCTGGCAGCTGAAAGTTAGGACCTAGGGGCTCAGTAGTATAGCGGTACCCCGAAGTGTACAAATATACTACATAATCGCGCATATGAATTACAGGTTTCTATTTTATGACACAATAGAGGTGGATGATTGGAATAAAGTTCTGAAATATGCTGGTAAAACGCCTTATGTGTTCTCAGATGGTTCTAAAACGAACGAAATAGTGTGGCTTCAGTTTACAAATGAAAACGGTCATTCCCCTTTAATACTTCTTTATGGGTAAAGGCATCGCTTGCAATATTCATATTCCGCTATTCGTTTCTAGCCTTCGCTATTTGGCGCCAGTTGGAAGTTTCAAGTGATATCAGGTCGGTCTCCACCTGATCCTTCCTGATCTGCCCCTCATCTGCTTTCACCAGCGGGTACTGCATCGAATGCATTCAAAGCTTTCATTCGTTCTTACGACATGACTTAGCCAGCATAGCCGTTGCCGTATAGTTGCCTACTCAGTCCAAAGTAGGACCTGCTGGCAAGCGTGATTCGGCGCTGAATTTCGGAAGCTGCTCCCTAGATAGTCGAAATTATCTACGACCTCAACGTTATGACTATCAATAGTGACGTGGTACCCAAGCGTATGTAAGCCGACTGTTTGTTTGATGATAGGAGACATTTCGTCTTGCGTCGTTCACTACCAAACCCATTCGTTTCGATTCTGTGACAAACTTGGAGAAAGCGGAATTAATGACACGATCTATAAATCTTATTATTTTTCCCAGCATCAGATTGTGGAAACTGCGTGGTAAGGAGCCACCCGTTGTTTCTTTGGTATCGAACGGTTCGGAGAGGTTTCTCCCAATACTGACTGCGCTTCTGATGTTGTCCAACTTCAGTTTACACAGCCGTAAAACTTTTGAAGTAATACGAAATTCAGAAATAGCAGCGTAGACGCAGCTCCTTGCTGTGCTGTGCTCTTTTCATCGATCCTTTAAGTCTCGGCGCATGGTGAATATCTTGTCAATGGTGGGTTTAAACCACAATGTTAAGGTTTGTTGACTGTGGGCTTTAGTCTTTCGCACAGTACATCCGGTAGGACCTTATATGCGATATTTGGAAGGTTACCAAAAGTTGAAAAGAAAAACTTCCAGTCATTTTAATTACTTATAAACTATTGTATTAGAATACAAAATATTTATTTAAAAAATGTTATCTCTTTCATATCGCTAAAAACACCCTGTACAATGTTGATCTCACGAAAAAAATTGAATACACATAAATGTCATATGGTGATACACTTTTCGGTAGTTAGTTTAACTGCAACTGAGTAAAGTAAAATTATGATCATATTTTCGAAACTCGATTATTTCTCATACAGCTGAAAAGGTACGTCAACAACAATACGCAAAACTGTGACTTCTGTGATGCCTCGCTGTGGAGGTTCATATTGGCACGATCTCGGTGAAAGGTCTCCTGAGGTAATCATGATGAGCGCTATGAAGAACAAGCATTATTTTTTAATATTTGAGTACAGTAACTTGGTCTTTACAATTTCACCGTAAAACAATGCTTTTTAGATTACATTTCTAATATTTTAAGATTACTTACCACAACTACAATTTGCGCCATAAAACACCACAAGCAACTCCTTGCTGAAGTGTTAAGTAATTTTCACTTACAATATTTCAATGGAGTTCCTGTTGCTGCGACGCCTGCTAAGTGCGCGCTCTGAAAGAAGTGCATTCCTATCAGAAGGAACCATGCCTTTTTTAAGCGAATTTTTTTTGTACTATTTCCCAGAGCTGAGTATTGTGTGCTTACTGCTGCCAACACCCATCTTCCCGGCACTTTGTGTTAAACGAAACATGAGATGGCTTGGCTCCTTATACAGGAGTTTATAGTCGAGTATATATTTATTTTATAGCGTCGGTTAAGCATCTAAATGAGCAAAGTTTTCCAAAGTAAATCCATTATAGATTTATATAAACAACTTATTTCTCAAAAAAAAAAAAAAAAAAAAAAAAAAAAAAAAAAAAAAAATAAATGCTTTGGTTTTAAGCAGCCACTCAAAGAGGCATATAAATGATTGCATATGGATGAACAAACAAAAAGAAAAACACATTAAACAACAAGGACAAAAACAAAAGCTGAAAAGTAACAAACATCCCAAGAAAAGTACTTTTATATGTATTGTTAAAAAGTAACAATGTACGAGTACTTACGAAGGCGAAGATTTTATTTTATTTTTGCCTTTCTCTCGCAAGGAGTTGGGCTTTCTTTTATTATTTGAAAGTCTTCGATTTGCAACAAATAACAATTTTTTTTCTTACCTTTTTTAGTTCAATTTATTTTCATTTCTTGTTTTCGCATTGTGTTTGTGTCGATTGTGCCTCCAACAACTTGGTCACACACGCACATACATCTGCACCGGCAACAACAACTAAATCACTGCAGAATCTCGCTGCTTTTTTATTTTTAAATGTAAGCCGATAAAAACAATCGAACACAAGCAGTCGAATTGAAGGGATGGTGGGCAGCAGCAATGGCAAGCATGTGCCTAAAGGATCGCCCACCCACCTCATCTCGCATTACTCAAGTCATGGAGGGTAGTCAGCACATTGTGCAAGGATTTACACATTGTTGTTGTGGGTGTGTACACATGTGTGTATAAATCTTATCGATGGCGTAGCTGTTGTGTATGTATTTCCACATGTGAAGGCCTGTACGATTTTGAAACAAATAGAGCCATTTTAAATGATTTGTAAGTGGATTCGTAGAAATGAAGTCATTAGCCAAATCACGTCTTCCTTTGTACGGGGTTTTCGTTTATTTTAAAGCTACTTTTTGTGAATCTATAAAAGGTTTAAAAGTGTTTAGAAGCTTAAAGTGTTACATTTGCTTTTAAATACTTTTGTTTTTATGTGAGCACCAAAAGCACTTTCCAGATAAACATAATTTACCAATTAAAGTGGTGGTCTTAGGTTTCAAGCATTAGTCCTTGCGTCAAGCCGATCCCGGTCAAGCCGATCTCGGAAGTTCTCTTATCGGAGATCTTAAGGTTCTGAAACCTTTCTTCTAGGGCAACCTTACTGAGGGGCACAGTCAAATCGTTGTCTAACCTGGGTAGAAAATATATTCGGTGATATTGCCTCCCCGGATCCGAAGAGGTTTGCGGCTGTTAACAATTCACCCGTTTTTCAAGCACCGAACAGCATATCAGCATAGCTTCAGATCCAAGACGCACTTGACACAATAAGCATCAGATAGATGGACTCAACTAAATACCGGCTGCTAGTGTCTTCTCATTGTTTCTGTTTAATTTTTAGATCCACAAGCTCACCACTACTTCAGAGGGATCATTAATCGAAAGCGAATTGCCAGCTCGCCGACCTTCCCTACTTCTTTACCGTACGACAATTAAAAATATGACCAGCGAGCTTCTTGGTCATCTTTTTACCTGCTGGAGAAAGAGGTACCGGCTTTAACTCGATAAGAACGCCGAAATCCATTCGACAGCCTGCGCTACTTCATTCCGCATGTGACTGCAGCTACCACAAAATTACAGAGCCGCAACATTGCTCGCAACATACAAAGCAATTGACCGATTGGTCGTGAATTTCGCTGCTTCGATTTGAACGCCGGGAACTAGCGAGACTTAGTTGAAAAAGCTACAAGCCTGCGTAAACATCACTTTCAGTACCTTCACAGGAAGTCTCCTGATGTCGTCTGAGCATGACTAGCACAGGAAACGAGCTATGCTACAAGCTGAGAAACGAAATGTTATCCATGTAAGCAAAGTCTACTCACATGCTACCGAAGGTAGCACTCCAACAGATACTTACTTGAAGCCGTACCACCACGTATCCATACCAAAATCTCACGTACAAGAACTCCTGGTCGGGATGGCTTACCCACAGGCTCTAAATGCCACTCACCGAGAGTTTGTCAACACCTTTTTGAAATATCTATTAGTGTATGACAATCTCGGAATCCAAGCACCACGAATTGCAGTCGGAGAGCTCAAGTTGCCGCGAGTGACCTGGAGGATACTGTCACAACTAAGATCGGGATATTGTAGTCGACTTAATTCCTATCTATCCAGATTTAATACCGACATACCCAACGAATGCACATAATGCAATAAGACCCCGCACACATAAACTTAAAATCTACTGATCTAGCCTTCCTTTCTCCCAGGCCCGAACC